CGGAAGGATCGCCGGAGCCCAGCAGGTCGAGGCTGCGTTGGCCGGGAGCAGCCACTGCAATCCAGTCTGGCGACAGAGTGAGACTCCAACTCAAAAACAAACAAACAAACAAACAAAAAAAACCATATTGAGTATCTCTTATCTGAAATGCTTGGAACAAGAATTGTTTTAAATTTTTATTTTTTCAGATTTTGAAAGATTTGCATTATATTTACTGGCTCAACATCCCTAATCTGATAATTTAAAATGCTTCAATGAACATTTATTTTGAGCATGATTTCAGTGTTCTAAAAATTTTGGATTTTGAAGCCTTATAGATTCTAGGTTTCAGATTAGGGAAATTGAACCTGTAGTAGGGAACTGAAATAAGACAAGATTTAATTTTTTAAAAAATGGGTCCCAGGAAGAAAACGTCATGATTTTTATTTATTTTATTTCAGGTTTTTTTTTTTCTTGAGTTGGAGTCTCACCCTGTCACCCAGGCTGGAGTGCAGTGGCATGCTCATGGCCACTGCACCCTCAACCTGCTAGGCTCAGGTGATCCTTCCACCTCAGACTTCCAAGAAGCTGGAACTACAGGCATATGCCACCATGCCCAGCTAATTTTTTTATTTATTGTAGAGGCGAAGTCTTACCAAGTTGCCCAGGCTGGTCTCAAACCCCTGGGCTCAGGCAATCCTCTTGCCTCGGCCTCTGAAAGTACTGGGATTGTAGACTTGAGCCACCACCCCCAGCCCCATGTTATCTTATTTTATTTTATTTTTGGAGAGCATGGCACAAAAATACAATGGGCTCTAGCATGTGGAATGAAGTAGAAGAGAATCAAGATAACAACAAAAAAAGCAGATCAGCTCTTCCGGGCTGGAGAATTTTTGCTGTTTATCGTAGCAGGATTATTAGGATTTCAAATATATATTTTGGAAACATAACTATTTATATATGCTGCATTCTGATATTTCTTTGTTTTTTCAAAAAATGCTTTACAAAATGTCAGCCCTTCACAGTCACGCTAAGAGAAACAGGTAAAATACTTATATCCATACTTAAAATGGCATTTTAAATCAAACACAGGAAGGAATGGGAAGAAGAATACAGCCACCAACGCTGTAACTCTAATATCAAACCAAAGAGAGAAGTCCTTAAAGGAGAGGCAAAGCCACAGTGAAAGATGATGACTGATTCTTCTACACAGAAATCTAGTTACTCTATCTCTTCTCTATTAAAATCTTGATTTAAAGTTTTATATTATAGATGAATGACAAAGGCAGTTGTCACACAGTCTAACTTTAAGGCTATTCTGCTATAATTTGAACAAAGAAATATTTATTTTAACAAAACTTACACCCAGCCGAGCATGGTGGCTCACGCCTATAATCCCAGCACTTTGGGAGGCTGAAGCGATAGGATTACCTGAGCTCAGGGGTTTGAGACCAGCCTGAACAACATGGCAAGACCTCGTCTCTACAATAAAAATCATAAAATTAGCTGGGCATGGTGATGCATTACCAAAGTTCCAGCTACTTCGAAGGCTGAGGCAGAAGAATTGCCTGAGTCCAGAAGATCAAGGCTGCAGTGGCCGTGAGCATGCCACTGCACTCTGATCTTGGTGACAGAGTCAGACTCTTGACTCAAAAAAAAAAAAAAAAAAAATTTAAGCCCTACATGTGAAATGCTTGCTAAAAAAAAAAAAGTCACCAATAAAACTAGCTGGAATGTTAGACAATAAATTTATAAAAAATGTTCAACATCATTAATCTTTCGGAAATGCAAATCAAAACCACAATGAGGTATCATTTCACCCCAGTTAGAATAGCTATTATCAAAAAGACAAGAAATAACAAATGCTGGCAAGGACGCAAAGAGAAGGAACTCTTTGAAGCTGATAGGAATCTAAATTAGTACAGCTACCATGGAGAGCAGTACTGTATGATCCAGTAATTCAACTGCTGGGAATTTATCCAAAGGAAAGGAAACCATCATAATGAAGAGACATCTGCAACCCATGTTTACTGCAGCACTATTCACAATAGCCAAGATATGGAATCAACCTAGGTGTGAAGAATGGTGTCAGCCGGGCTCGTTGGCTCAGCCTATAATCCCGTGCCTTTGGGAAGCTGAGGTGAGTGGATTGCCTGAGCCCGCGGGTTCGAGACCCGCCTGGGCAACGAGACCTCTTCTCTACAATAAATCAAAAAATCAGCCGGGCGTGGTAGCGCATGCCTGTAATTCCGGCTACTCGGAAGGCTGAGGCGGAAGGATCACCGGAGCCCAGCAGGTCGAGGCTGCGGTGGCCGAGAGCAGCCACTGCACTCCAGTCTGGGCAGCCGAGTGAGACTCCAACTCAGGAAAAAAAAAAAAAAAAAGGAATGGTGTCAACTGAAGAATAGATAGAGAAAATGTGGTGTACATATACAATAGCATATTATTCAGTCATTAAAAAGGAGTGAAAAAAATAAACAAAGAAGAAAGAAAAGAAAATTAAAAGAAATTTTTTTCAAAAGGAATGAAATCCAACTAGGCACTGTGGCTCATGCCTGTAACCCCAGCACTTTGGGAGGCCGAAATGAGAGGATTGCTTGAGGCCAGGGGTTTGAGACCAGTCTGGGCAACTTGGTGAGACCTTGTCTCTACAATAAGTCAAAAAATTAGCTGGGCATGGTGGCACGCGCCTGTGTTCCAGCTACTTGGAAGACTGCAGTAGCCTTGAGCACACCACTGCACTCCAGCTGTGGCGATAGAGTGAAAACTCTGACTCCAAGAAAAAAAAAAAGGAATGAAATCCTGTCATTCACAGCAACATGGATAGAACTGAAGTACACTTTGTCAAGAGAAATAAACCAGGAACAGAAAGTTATACACTGTATGTTTTCACAGATATATGGAAACTTTAAAAAACTCATTTTATAGATGGAAAACAGGATACTGGAGGCTGGGAGGGAGAAGGGGAAGAAAGGGACAGGAAGAGATTTATTAAAGGATACAAAATTACAGTCAGATAGGAGGAATAAGTTCTAGTGTTCTATGTCAGTGTCGAATGACTATAACTAACAATTTTATATAGCTTCAGACAGCTAGACGGAAGATATTAAACGCTTCTACCTTAAAGAAATGATCAATGTTCAAGATGAAGGATGTGTTAATTATGCACCGAAATATCACTATGTACCCTCAAGAATATGTACACTTATTATGTGTCAAATTAAAAAAATTTTTTTTAATTTTTTTAATCTGGCTGGGATAACAGAGAACCTAGGAAACAAAGAGTCCTCCACCCAAACAAAACAAAACACAAATGAATTTAATCTTCTGTAGAAGCTGATATCCAAAAGTTTATAGATGACAGAGTTAATCCATAGTCAATGATATTCTAATATTTCACCTTACTCTGTGAAGTTTCAACTTTTTTCTAACAGGTACTAAAAATATTCACACACAGCATATATGAAAATAGGTGTGCAACAAAAATTGATACGTTAAAAAATTAATATTTGAGCCGGGCTCGGTGGCTCAGCCTGTAATCCCACGCCTTTGGGAGGCTGAGGTGAGTGGATTGCCTGAGCCCGCGGGTTCGAGACCCGCCTGGGCAGGCGAGACCTCATCTCTACAATAAATCAAAAAACTAGCCGCGCGTGGTAGCGCGCGCCTGTAATTCCGGCTACTCGGAAGGCTGAGGCGGAAGGATCGCCGGAGCCCAGCAGGTCGAGGCTGCGGTGGCCAGGAGCGGCCACTGCACTCCAGTCTGGACAACAGAGTGAGACTCCAACTCAAAAAAAAAAAAAAAATTAGTATTGGTCTAAAAAACACTATTTCATGAAAAAATTGGTATAGCAATTCATAAAAACATAAAATACACAGAAACAAAGATATTTTCATTATTTACAATTTCAAAAACCAGAAGTTGCAAAATACCCAAATACAGTATGGTTAGAATTTCTATGCCTTATTTGTTACATGTTTATATACACTGAATGACATGGACACTATATTTTCAACACAGACCCATGAAAACATAAAAGATTAAGCATACTATTACATAATAAAATCAAATCAACATTATCAGGTTAAGTAAGGCTCAACTTTCCATGCAAGCGTTATTATTTTACATGTTAGTTAACCTAGACCCACCTGACTGGAGATGTCCGTTGCGGCACGTCAAGTTAGTACTGTCATTATAAACATCCATTTGTGACTTGGAAAATGGCAAAACTGGTTGCATCTTCTCTATGCAACAGAGGGGGTAAAAAAAAGAACAAAATAAACAACAACAAAAAATATAATGAACAAACAAAATGCGTATGTGGAATGAAAAATCATTCTAAGTGTTACAAGTTTGTTACATGATGAAGAGCTTTTGCATTTATATAAAATTCTCTTTAAAAATATAATTAGTAAAACCAGACATGAAAATAGCAACAGAAATTAACAAGTGAATAGCTATGTTCAAAATATGCCTTATTCAGGTCAGGTAACCTGAAGCAGTAACACATCCTTATTACCACCAGCAAATATTTACCAAATATCTAATATGTCCTAATTAACTGTGTTGGGAAAGTATCATGGAGATAAAAAAGAATAAGGTTTCTACCATCCAGACAGTTATTAAATGCAACTGGCAACTTACAATACAACTATTAAAAAAGAAAAACAAACTGCATAGTACAAAAGAAAGAGACCACTGAAAAGGCTTTAGAGAGGAGCTGGGCTATGAGGTGGTCAGGATTTGGAAAGATAAAAAGAAAGGACATTTCAGGAAAAGAGAGCAGCATTTAAAATGGCACAGAAGAAAACTAGAAGGAGTGTCTAGGAAATGCTGTGTTTGGCCCATGAACATATGTCAGGCGAAAAATAAAGGCAGTGAAGCAGAATGGCGAACAGGCTGCAGTCACTGTGTACATACAGTCCCCTGCCATGTTTAAGCATACACATGTGCATAGTTGTATACATAAAGATGAACTCTAGAAAGTGCCCAGAGAAGCTGCTAATAACAGCTGCCTCTAGGGAGGGAAACGGGTGGCTGGAGCACAGCATGGGATGGATGCTTTTCATGCTCAAACTTTAAAAATTTTGTAGCATGTGTTTCTATTATCTACTTTTAAAATTAATCAATGAAAAACTAAAAAGGGTTACTTCAATCCTACCTCCACTTCAAATCACAACAAAAAACCCTCCCAAGTCTAGCACTGGAATCCCAAGAGGGTCGCAGTTCTACCTTTGGCACTCTGCACCAGGGTTGCCCTCTCTTTCTGGATTCTAGAAGCCAATCTATGAGCCAAGTGGCATACACCCTGCTCCCACTTACTAGTGATATGACCCACTAGTTTCAGTTTTCTACAGGTCTTAAGGAGGAAATAAAATAATGTACATAATGTATGTGTGCCTTATCCAAAATAGGGGCTCAATTTTTACTGTATTTATTTTGTTGAACTACTCCAGGTCATCATAACTGACTCTTTTCTTTCGCGCTAGCTGGTCAATGAATACATGTGAAAATGCAGCATATATATACTAACTCTCTGAGACTTTCATTTCTAAGGTCAGACAAACAGGCGCCATGCTTGGTTTATGGTACCATCACACAAGCCTTTGGGACAGGTTAAATAGCAGCTACCCTTTCTGCACAAAACACAAAGTACTGCACAGCTTTTGTATCCTAGAACTGGCTGATACAATATACCTTGGAGTTTTTTTTTCTGGTTAGCTAACAGATAGGTCATCTGATTTTTCTCAGTGATAATCACCAAACTGAGACAGAAAGCATCTGTGTTGGTAAAAGCCTAAAGTAGGAAAAACATTAATTTGTAAATGTCTTCTTTGCCAATTAACACTCTTAAATTAAATGCAATAAAAAGGTCACCTAAATATTTATTATATAATAAAAAGAAACAAAGTCTTAGTTTTGACAGATAGGAATAAAAAACTAAAGCGGGCACCAGGAAGTACTGCCCCTAAGAGTACGGGCGGAAGGGGTTGGGCACCAAGGAGGAGATGGAGGTTGAGCGGCCCGGCTCGTGCTGAGCTCAGTAAACTCGAGTGAGCCCTCCCAGGTCATCTTCTGCAACCACAGTCCGCGCCGCGCTGCCTGTATGGCTCAACTTCGACGGTAAGTGGCAGCCCTACCCCACACTGCTGCCCGGCACAGGTTGCCACATCCACAGCTACCCAGGTCACCTTTGGCTTTTCAGAGATGCAGGGACAGACGATGGGCTTCCAGCTAACCAAACTTAATTATTTGTGCTATCTCTCAATGTTGATGAAGAGTCTATTTTTGCCAACATCACACTGCCAGTGTACACCCTGAAAGAGCAATGCCTCCAGGTTGTCCGAAGCCTGGTCAAGCCTGAGGATTACAGGAGACTGGATATCGTCAGATCCCTCTAAGAAGATCTGGAAGATCACCCAAATGTGCAGAAAGACCTGGAATGACTGACGCAGGAGCATACTGAAAATCAGTGAGTGGAAGAGGAGATTGAAGAGTTTAATTGAAGCCAGGCTCGGTGGCTCAGCCTATAATCCCGTGCCTTTGGGAGGCTGAGGTGAGCAGACTGCCTGAGCCCACGGGTTCAAGACCCCCCTGGGCAGTGAGACCTCATCTCTACAATAAATCCAAAAAAAAAAAATCAGCCGGGCGTGGTAGCGCATGCCTGTAATTCCGGCTACTCAGAAGGCTGAGGTGGAAGGATCGCCAGAGTCCAGCAGTCGAGGCTGCGGTGGCTGGGAGCGGCCACTGCACTCCAGTCTGGGCGACAGAGTGAGACTCCAACTCAAAAAAAAAAGAGTTTCATTGAAACTGGCTCTCTTTCACCTCAGCTTTTGAGGGTACTAACAAGTCTTGGTCTAGATACAGGACATGTCACATACTCTCAGTTTCAAAATGTCTCATTCTGGGGATAAAATACGCTCCAATATGCTCCACTGCTTAGGAGAAAGCCAACTGACTTCAAGAGACTTTGTGATGTCTAGGGGCAAACATCACAAAAAGTTATGCCTGCCTGTACTGAAGTATTTATCAGGAGAAAGTAGTTGTATTTTTGCCTCCTAAGTCAACAGTTTCTGTGCAAGAAAGTTTGTGTGATTCAGTGAGAATTGCAGCATATCCTTTCATGGTAAGAAAGCAGTGTCATCTGCTTCTAATCATAAATTGTGGTTGGTGATGTATCCACCTCCTGCTTTGGAAAGACTGAGATGTCCTTGAGGCAGGGACAAGTCTTTCTTCTGAGACCCTAGTGCCTAGCCTAGGGTCTTCAGTCTAGTCATGAGCCTTCAGTCAGTGTTTGTCAGAGGAACAAACCACTCGCTGCTTTGGTAGAAAGTGCCTGGAGGTTTTGCCTCTTTTTTTTATTGGGGAAAAGAGGATGCCTTAATGCATATCCAGTAAACAAATGTCTTAAAGGGAATCATTTTTATGGGAAGCACTTTTTATCATTTTCTAAGTCACATGCTCTTCTCAGTCCACGCTATTGCAGTGTTGTTTATTTAATTCTAAAACGGGATTGGCTTTCTACACCTATTGTGCTAATAGTATCTGTACAGAAAATATAAAATCCTGTAGTATTAATGAGCTACTATACTGTAAATAAGTTTTTGCCAAGTGTGTGTATTTCGGTTCTTTTTTTATAAATCCATGAACTCTCTGACTGGTTGGGCATTTTTTGTCTGGCAGCATCTGGTGGCACTTTGACCTGGCTGGGGGAGAGACTGAAGTCTTCTAGCTTCTGAAAGATTTACTCCCAATGTGGGTTCATGGAGTAGCCAGGAATGTTTCATGATTTTATAAATGTACAGCTACTTCCTTATGGGCTGGACTTATAGGTTCATTAACACAAGTGAAATACTTTTATCAGAATTAGTTTTTTATAACTAGTAGTTTTTTTTTTTAATCTTCCCAGTAGAGAAAAATTTTGAAAAGACAGAAAAGTAAAAGTAAGAAAAAAAGAAAACCGGGCTCAGTGGCTCAGCCTGTAATCCCATGCCTTTGGGAGGCTGGGGTGAGTGGATTGCCTGAGCCCACGGGTTCGAGACCCACCTGGGCAACTTGGAGAGACTTCATCTCTACAATAAATCAAAAAATTAGCCGGGTGTGGTAGTGTGCGCATGTAGGTCCAGCTACTTGGAAGGCTGAGGCGGAAGGATCACCGGAGCCCAGCAGGTCGAGACTGCGGTGGCCGGGAGCGGTCACTGTACTCTACTCTGGGTGACAGAGTGAGACTCCAACTCAAAAAAAAAAAAAATCACTATAGATACACTACTTGAATACAAACACTTTGAGCATTCTGAACTATTTTCTTTTGCCTTTTTTAGGGTACATTTTAGTTAATTGCTTTTTACATAGTAGAGATCATATTGTATATACAGTTTTGCATTCTACTTTTTCATTTAACTTTATAACTTCAATATTTTTCCACATTATTATAAGCTCTTCATAAATGTTAGTATAGTCTTCCTCCTATACTTAATGATTTGGGCATTTCTTGGCATCTGGTTTCTTTCATTCTTTCTTTCTTTTTTTATTTGAGTTGGAGTCTCACTCTGCTGCCCAGGCTGGAGTGCAGTGGCATGCTCGCAGCCACCGCAGCCTCGACCTGCTACGACAATCCTTCTGCCTCAGCCTTCCAAGTAGCTAAAACTACAGGCACACTCCACTACACCCAGCTAATTTTTTGACTTATTATAGAGACGAGGTCTTGCAAAGTTGCCAAGGCTATACATCTATTTTCTTATCCTGAACTTTAGGCACAATTCCTATGCTCTAAAAACAGAGTAAAGCCAGGCTCGGTGGCTCAGCTTGTAATCCCACGCTTTGGGAGGCTGAGGTGAGTGGATTGCCTGAGCCCGCGGGTTCAGGACCCACCTGGGCAACTTGGTGAGACCTCATCTCTACAATAAATTAAAAATTAGCTGGGTGTGGTAGCGCGCGACTTTAGTTCCAGCTACTTGGAAGGCTGCTCGGAAGGATTGCCAGAGCCCAGCAGGTCAAGGTTGCGGTGGTGGGGAGCGTGCCACTGCACTCAAGTTTGGGCGACAGAGTGAAACTCCACCTCAAAAAAAAAAGCTGTTCTTTAATACATTAAATGGTGCTGAGTAAAGGAAAAAAAAACTAAAGAACTAAAGAACTTGTTTTTAGACAGAGTTGTTTTAGTTTGTTAATTTTCTTTTGAGTCAGTCTCACTGTCACCCAGGCTGGAGTGCAGTAGCAGGCTCACAGTCACCATAACCTCGACCTG